TAGGGTTTCTCAACTAGAAAATACCAAAATTATTTCATCATGTCAGGTTTCTTGAACTTCCTTTTCAGTCTAGCACACACTAAAATAGATAATTCAGCTATTTTAACTTTTAACCAGTGCCCACAAATGTGTTACACAACAACCAGTCTAGTTAACTGGATCATTAAGCTGATGTTGAAATATTATGGGCCAGTCTTTCTTTTTTGTATTTCTGGGGAAATACTTCTTCACCAGTGACTCAGCCCCCAGAACCTCCCGGTTCATCCAATGTTCCACCCTAGAACCTGAAAACGTAACCAAACAGAGAAAATGAAAACCTGCAGAAGAGAAGGAAAACTCGAAGTTCAGACACCACTGGCAAAACTGCAAAATAGAAGTTTTGAAATCTGACAAATAAATGGACTTGCAGTAAAAATTTTACTGGGACACAACTACTGCAAAAATACAGACAGAAATAAAGTACACGAGACATTTTATTTCTCAAGTCTGTTAATTGGATCAAGAAAATGAAAAAGTAAAAATGGATTTTAAAAAGGTTTTTCTTAAGACAACACAAACGTGACCAATTAACAAAAATCAATAATAGTCCTATATATGGCAGAATGTGACTCCTTTTAAAGTATAATTGCAGCTTAAGTTTTGCAGTAAGATTTGATTTAACCCATTTCATATCCTTAAATAATTCAGCTTAAAGAAGTACCTTGACTGGACCTCATAAACTTGAGGCCAATCTTGAGGAAAATATGTAAACGCAGGTGCAGTGCAAGGCTAAAAACGGATGGCTAGCAATTACATCTTATCTGAGTGGCAACTATTAAAAGTTTTGCCTGCCTTGCCAAAACCGGTTTGGCTCAATGGGTAGAGCGTCGGCTTGGGGACTGAAGGGACCCGGGTTTGATTCCGGTCAAGGGCATGTACCTTGGTTGCAGGCATATCCCCAGTGGGGGGTGTGCAAGAGGCAGCTGATCGATGACTCTCTCTCATCGATGTTTCTAACTCTCTATCTCTCTCCCTTCCTCTCTGTACAAAATCAATAAAATATATTTAAAAAATAAAAAAGAAAAGTAAAAGTTTTGCCTGCCTTGTACAAGGGAGGTTCTTTGCTGGTACAGAGGGACAAAGGCAACACTCTTAACAGCTTTATCTTTCTTATGAGAAATGTAACTATTTCAAATCAATTAGGTCACCTGTTATTGATCAATTAATGTTTCTAACAGCTATTACTACTGCTATTTCCCTCCAAGTTGCATCAACTGGATGCCAAACACAAGCCAGCCTTACATCACATGAGCTACAACTTAAAAAACAGTCTCCATTCCCCTATGCCTTCAAGAGAGGTTTCTCTCCCCACCTCTAAGTGGAATTAGAATTTTCTCTCTTTACAATACACAGTCACAATTCAAGAGATAAAAAAACACAAAGAGGTCTTGAGAGTATTTCAAGGCATAAAAGCACAGAGAAGTTTAGGCTTTTGGTATTTCATCTAACTGGTTAACATTAGAATACAATTTAATTTGTTTGAAGAGCATTGTGGAACCCTTAGAGCTCAAAATTCCATTCTTTTACCCAAGTGGCCTAAATACCATATCTGGGATTCATTTGTGTACCACATAAGAACAAAGTTTTTGAAAATCCTGCTTGAATTTAAAATAAAAAGGTTTCCCAAGTGTTTAGCCCGTGAACTCTAAAATGTCTGCAAGATAATGCCCTTTAACAAAGATCTCTCTATTTTGAAAATATTGTCCCCAAACCTACTGATACCTTTAAAAACTATTACCCTGCTAAAATACCACAAAGACATTCTTTTAAATTATATTCTTTTAAATATGAAGACTCAAACATTCTTCTACTGTTTAGGCCAGATTTCCAAAGCAGTTCAACAGACTACCAAATAGTTTTTAAAAATAAAAGGGATTCCACAGAATTTTTTAAAAAGAAGTCATAATTGTAATCAATACAAAAAGTAATACTTGGCATAAATCAAACACAAGTCATGTGTTTTAACACAAATTTCTGAATATCAGGATTGAGACCTAACAAAACATAATCACCCAACAGTAATTTGGAATAAGTCAAAATTGACAGATCCTGTAACAAGGAGAATGAAATAATGTTATAAATGGTGTTAAGATCTCATTTTATATATGCGGAAACTGAGCCCCAGAAAGGCTACATAATTTGTTCCATATCATGCAGTTTATGGCAGATCTGACCAAAATCACATCTTTTAATTCTAAATCCAATGTTCTACTCACCACCAAATATAATTATAGACCCCAAAGTTGTAAATGCTCTTTTATAACACCCATATTTTGCACTGAATTACCCTGTGTGGTATTCACTTGTTAGAATAGCTCTCATTCTAAAAGTCATTTTTTCAAGTATCACACATGGAAATAAACTCTGAGATCTGTAACAAAAGAATATGCTCTTGAAAGATGGCTAGCCGATTTGCTAAAAGTGAAGATAATTCAAACTTCCCGACAAATTTAAAGATGAGGCCAAAACCCAGTCTATCTTCAACAAAATATCTAGTTCCAACGATTCTGCGTACATTCACATCAGCAGACAACTGGCATCATGTGTCCACAATCATCCCTAAATTCTCAATCCGGCTGCAGCAATAACCACACTCTGTCGTGTCATTAATAACATCACTGGGAAAAGGTGTTTTGGAAAAAACACTCATCATCTGATCCTTCACTATCAAATGAATATAAAAACTCTTTGAATAATTTTTGAAGCATTTCTACATCCATGACATCTATAGTCCTGAATCCAAAAATAACTTGGGAGGATAAACCAAGCCCTCCCTTTCATAAGGAAAAAGCCCACACCCAGACCTGCCTATTAGGATTAATACATATTATACACCTGCCACAAACATTGTAACGAAAACCTATTACTTCTAAAACATTAATCACATTTCTACCCAAAAATCACAAAATCAGTTACTTTGGCTTTTAGCAAGAAAACAAACCAATCTGATGTCAATTATAGATTTAATTTGTAAATGAAAACCAAATTAAAGTTGTCAGTAATTAAAGTTTTACAAGCTTTACAAACTCAAATAGGTGGCTTTTATGTAGCCATAAAAATAACAATGTATGCAGAGTAAGAAGTGTTTCCTTCCAGCCCCGAAATAGAGGATTGTTTCTCTAGAAGCAAAGACCCCTGGGCTGTGCCGGTTACTTCACAAAACCAAGGTCTGGGTTTGGGTCCAAATCATCATCTGATCTGGTCATATTATCTGATCATAACCTCATCAGGCATTTTTATACCTACAAAGAATGATGACTCTCTTCTTGAAACAAAAAATGGATCATGCAACAACTGTGGATTTTCAAAGGAAAACAATCACCGATTGCGGTTTTCACAGATTTATCAATGATTCAGGGCTATGCATCTGCCATGAAGTGTCCCCAAAATGCTCACTTGTCTCTTTGAAAGGAACTCTGACTGTGAAATCCTCATCAGACTGGTCGCTGAAGAGAAAAATCCAGGGGGAACCCCCCTGGCAGGGATCAGCCCAAACTTTTTACTTCCTCCTCAGAGCTGGAAATATTCGAGTTTGGAAAGTCCCCCAACAGAACGGTATTGGCATCACGACAATCCGGCCTCCGCTATACACTGGGACAAGGAGCAGCCGCCCACAGTGATGAGGGAGAGAAGGGGCAGGTGAGGATGCGGACTGGTCCAGGGCCTCTGGGGCCCGCTAGCTAGCGAGGGGCACCTCCAGGACGCACCGTTGGCATTTGCGCGCGCGCGCGCACACACACACACACACACACACACACACACACACACACACACACATATCCAACCACCAAGTCGCAGGCCCACGGCGGAGCTTCGCGCTCACCCTTGAAGGTGGCACTACAGAGCCACCTAGGAGGCACAGGCATCTCATTGAAGACTAAAAGAGAGTGGAGCAAGGAGCCTGCGGCAGTGCAGCTGCCAAAGCCAGTGGTGTGTGCGGTGGCGGTGGTGGTGGTGAGGGAGAGGGGGCGACCCACACCTCATTGGGCCCCAGGGATGGGGAAGAGAAGTGGGGACGCGATGGTAAGGTGCATTCAATGCAAAAGAGGAAAGAATGCGAGCAGCACAGTCAAGACTAGACAGTGCCCGGCCTGGGAGAGAAAGGAAGTGGACGAGACCGAGGAGGTCTGGCCGGGAGGGGAAGTGGGGAGAACAGGCCCGGGAGAGGCTAGCTACACCAGGGAGGACGGAGGCATTGGAGGCTGAAGGAAAGGGTGGAGGCCGCGAGGCAGAAGCAAGGGGGCTGGGCTGGGAGATGAGCAGGGGCGGGGCCAGGGAGAAAATGAGGGGCGGGGCTTAGGGGAGAAAGTGAGGGGGCGGGGCCAGGGGAGCAGAAAGGGGCGGGGCCGGGGAAAGGAGCGAGGGGGCAGAGAGGGGGCAGCGGGAGGGAAGCCGGAGGGGGGACCCGGGAGGAGGCACGGAGGGGGGCGGGCAGGAGGGAGGGGCGGGAGTCCCGGCTGGTAGCGGGAGGCAGGGAAGCAGAAGGTGGGCAGGCGGTGGGAGAGAGGGGCGGGGCCGGGAGGGGAGAGCGAGGGGCAGGTGAGGGGACCTGGCAGAGAGGGGAGGGAGGGGGACGAGCAGCGGGAGGCGGGATCGGGGGGGGGGTGCGGGGGGATCCCGGGGCGGGGAGCAGGGGGACGGGAAGGATGAAGGCAGGGGGGCGAAGCGGGGGGGCGGGGCCAGGAGGGGAAACCGAGGGGGCAGGTGGGGGAAGGAGGCGGCGAGCAAGCAGCTGGGGGGGGGGGGTAGACGCGGAGGGGCGGGGCCGGAGCGGCGAGGGGGCGGGGCCGGGAGCAGCGAGGGGCACTCGCCGAGGGGGGTGCCGAGGTCCTGGGACAACGGCCGCCGTGGGGGAGGGCCGCTCCCGCAGGGCGCTCCGCGGGGGAAGCCGGGGCGGCCCGGGGGCCGTGCGGGGGCGGGCGGGCGCTGAGGGGGCGGCGCGGGCCTCCCCCCCGCCGTACCTGTCAGACGGATCTTGATGCTGGAGCCGTTCCTGCGCGTCCCGGGGTTCGACATCTCCCGCCAACGATCGGGCAGCCGGGGATCCAGCGCCGCCGCCGCCCCCCGGCCCGGCCCGGCCCGGCCCCGCCGCCGCCTCAAGGTTACGGCTCCGGGCTGGGCGCCGGGGTCCGAGCCGGGACACCAACTCCGCGGCCCAGGCGTCCGGGCTGCGGGCGGATGCTCGAGTCCGGAGGTCCGCGCTGGACCCGGCGCCTCGGATACAAGATCGCTCCCAGCCCAGCCCAGTCCGGAGCCGCCGCCGCCGCCGCCGCCTTCACCACCTCAGAGCCGGACGCCTGCCGCCCTCGCCGCTTCCGCCGCCGCCACCGCCGCCGCCGCCTCCCGAGCCGCGCGCGCTCCCGCCGCCGGCCCGGCCCGCGCGCCCTGGCGTGCGCCCCCGCGCCGGCGAGCGTGCGCGCCCCCGCCGGCACGTCGGGACGGGGCGGGGCGGGGCGGGGCGCGCCGTGCGCTGGCGTTGTCCGTCCGGCCTCGGGCGCTCCGGGTCCCTGGCCCGCGGCCCGGCTTCCTGCTTCCTCCGGGGCGGGCGGGCGGCCTCCGCGGGATCCCGGGGGAGGCTATCCGGCTTCTGGAGCGGAGCGCCCCCCGCAGCTCCGCGCCCGGAGGCCAGTGCACGGCCGCGAGTGCACGGAGCCTGGGCCGCTGGTCACCGGCACCGGAGGTGCCCCGGAGAGGGCGGGGCGGGGCGGGGGTCCCGCGCCCGGTCGCCCTGGATCTTGGCCACGTCCTCCGAGGGGACCTGCCTGCAGGGGCGGACGCTGAGGTTCGGAGAACCGCTTTGGTTTTCCGGGTCCCTGGCTCCGGGCTCCTGAGAGTTACTGAAGAGAGGGTTACAGGAACCCCTGCCCTGGTCTGTTCCTGCACCTTGCACAAATAGATACCTTTTAAAAAAAATTTTTTTTTTTAAATTTTGTGTTTTATTTTAGTGGAGAGCGTTTAGATAATGCAATTCCAAGGAATGACTTCCCCAAAAGACTAAAGTCCACTCTTAGGTGTGTTTTCTGCCACGAGTGCTCTCCATTGACCCGTAACAAAGATGCTAGAATCACAGCAACAAGGTGAGCAACATTGGAGAGAATCAAGTGGAGGGGGTAGATGTGTGTTGCTATCCGGTCCGCATGCAGTTTAAGACAAAAAAAGCAGTTTTACAGCCAGTGTTTCCCCGTCTTCTGCCTGTATTTCCTTTCCTCCCAAAGTTACAGGATAAAGCTAAAACCTCTGATATTTTGTCCAGCAAACCAACTTCACCTCGTTAAACTTTATAGAAAGGAAATAATATGCTAATGAAGAGGGAGAGCTGAGCTTGAGTACCAAACTTGTTTTTGACCAACCACCTAATTCTTTCAGTGCCTTTATTTCATGTGTGTCCTAAAGAAGGCAGTTCTGAGCCATTGCTGCCACCCACTGCAGCTGCGGGCTTTCCCTGGGGTGGCGGTCCCGAACAAACAGCATCTTGGCACGCCTGCCCACCTGAGCCTGCGTCCTGTGAAAAGTCTCTCCTGGGCTGGATTCAAGGCTTCTTTGAACTTCAATCTAGTAACTAAAGGACGGCCAAGGCATCTCTCTGGTCCTTTGCAGCTCAGACTTTCAATGAGTATTCAAATACCAAAGAATACAAGCTATGTTTAAGCAGCAGAGCAGTAGATCCAGAATCCAGCTCTGTTTCCTTAAGCATGAGTGAGTCACAGTCTGGAAAGATCCATGTGGAATCTCTGACGCCCTCAAGAAATCCCCATTCTTCTCTCAGTCCAGGTAGTATTTCTCCTCTTCAGTCTTATATCTAAGTATCTTCTCTCTAAACCAGACTAAACATCTCTCTGACCCCCGTTCTGATAACCAGCTGTTTTCCTGACCTAAAGACCTTTAGTCTATTAACCTGTTTTCTTACCTGCCTAGACTTCTGTACTTTCCTTTGCTTGATTATCGAGTCAGGAGGTCACTTCCGGAAGTTACCAGAAGGCATTTTAGTTTACTCATTAACAAGTAATTGCTGTTGTCATTTCACAAGATATGTCTAACAGTGTCTTTCAACACAACCTTCACAAGTAGGACCTTCCTAAAGTGAAAGTGAATGTTTTATTCACCAGCCAACACAGGCCACCTACTATGCATCCAGGGGCAAGGAACACAAATAAATCATAGCGGCAGCATTTCGGAAGCTCAGTTTCCTGGGTGAAACAGACATGAACAGCTGACAATGATACAGTGACGGAGATGTGTACAGAGGGCTAGAACATAGACTGCAGGGCGATTCTGCCTGGGAGCAGAGATACAGGCAGATCTGAGAAGAATCATAGAAGATCCGATCTAGGACAGAAAGGCAGAGTTCAAGTTTGTTGGGCAAAGAGGTGGGGAAGGGCACTGAAAACAAGAGGGAACAGCTTATACAAAGGTATCCTCCCTACCTACCCTTTAATAGAAATTAGAATTCTGTGCTAAGGTTGTGGGCCAGCCCTTACATCGAACTTAAGGCGTATCTTCATATCCTTTCATCAGGTATCAGATTTATCAAACACACGATCTTTTTTCTTTTCTTTTTAATCCTCACCGGAGGATATTTTTCTTTGGAGTTTTAGACAGAGTGGGAGGGAGAGATGGAGAAACAATTGTGTGAGAGAGGCACATGAATCGATTCCCTCCCACACACACGGTCTCATCACTCCTAGAGTAAGAATTCCTAATCTAAAGGAAACGATCAAGCAAATGACATTGGGGATGTTCCATATGTTTATTCAGGAGCCAGCACAACAGTCGCCGCCTTTGAAGACAGTGGGTACGCTGGAAAGAGGGCAGCTCTGACCCACCCAGACCCACACGCCACCCCAGCTCTGTCACATTGCCAGCCACACTAGGGCAAGTTAATTAAATCCTCCAGGCCTCACTGTGAAAATGGAGATAATGCCTCTCACCCAAAGTTTAAAATAAAACATGGATTTATTTAAGTTCTTCCTTTATCTGAAATCATGGGTTTCAATGAAACCATGGACGCAGACTTAGCAGGCACTCAACGAATGACGGCTCTTACTAGTACCAGTGAAAGGTGCATGCTAAGTCTTTGCGGAAACCTACCAGTGCTATGACTAGGGCCGTGGTCGGCAAACTGCAGCTCGAGAGCCACGTGCGGCTCTTTGGCTCCTTGAGTGTGGCTTTTCCACAAAATACCACGGCCTGGCAAGTCTATTTTGAAGAAGTGGCGCTAGCAGAGGTTTAAGTTTAAAACATTTGGCTCTCAAAAGAAATTTCAATCGTTGTACTGTTGATATTTGGCTCTGTTGACTAACGAGTTTGCCGACCACTGAACTAGGGGAATCTGTTCGGGATATCGTGCGATCCCTGATGGGAGTGGATGGCTCTAACAAATGCCCCTTGAGAGCACATTGCTCTACCCGAGCTGGTGCCTCGGCGGCCAGTGGCTAGATCAGATTAGCCTTTAAGTTTTTCTAGATCTAGAATCTAGGCTTTCTTTGCTCTTCATCTGAACATTGTTTTCCAAACAATTGGATGTACAAAATTGTGATTAATGAGCACACTTATTTATCCTTTTATGTCTGGAAGCCTTTAGGATCATCCTCTTAACTTACAACCTAAACTTAATACTAGCAATACGCAAATCTTACGATAGCATTATCATTGGTAGGGGTTATTACCTGGTTTTTTTAAATTGAAAATTTTATTGAGATAATTGTAGATTCACATGCAGTTGTAAGAAATAGCCTTAGCTGGTTTGGCTCAGTGGATAGAGTGTCAGCCTGAGGACTGAAGGGTCCTGAGTTCGATTCCAGTCAAGGGTATGCACCTCAGTGGCAGGCTCAATGCAAGAAGCAACTGTTCGATGTGTCTCTTTTACATCGATGTTTCTCTTTCATTTTATCTCTCTCCTCCCTCCATTCCTTCTATTATCTCTCTTAAAAGCAATGGAAAAAATACCCTTGTGATTGGATTAACAAATAAATAAGCAAATAAATACAAGCAAATAAAATTTAAAAAAAAATACTACCTAGATATTCCTTGCCCAGTTTCTCCCAATGATTACAATTTGCAACACTGTAGTATAATATAACAACCAAAATACACTGATGCAATCCAATGAGATTCAGATTTCCCCAGTTTTACTGCACTGATGTGTGTGTGTGTTTATTAAGTTCCACAGTTTTAACACCTGTGTAGGTTCCACTATCCGCCACCACCCTACAAATACTGAACAGTCCCAACACCGCATGAAGCCCCATGTGTAGAACCGTACCTTTTGCCCCACCCCCAAGACCTGGCAACCACTCACCTGTCCTCCACTGCTTAAAGATGTCAGCTCAACAATGTTTCATATCTATATGGAATCATACAGGATGTAAATCTTTGGGGAAATGGCATACTTCCCTAGAAAGTCGTGCAAGTTGTTACATGTATCAGTGGCTCATTCCTTCCTATTGCTAAGCAGTATTCCATAGCATGGACGTGTACGTTTGCTTACCCACTCATCCTTTGAAGGACACCTGGGCTAACTCCAGTTTCTGGCTATTACAAACAAACCACTGTGACTGTCCATGTACAGGTTTCGGTGCGCACATAAGTTTTCCATTTCTCTGGGATAAATGCCCAAGAGTGCGATTGCTGAGTCATCTTGAGAATTGCATGTTTAGTTTTATGAGAAACTGCCAACCTCTTTGCCTCTCCTCCCAGCAACATTTCTCAGCATCCCTGCCAGCGTTTGGTGGTGTCACTGTGATTCCTTTTCACCAGCCTGGCACGTGTGTAGTTGCTGTGTCTTCTGGCTGTGGAATTATTTGAGGGATAGATTATTTCTTCAAATATATGCAGCCAGGTAGTTAGGGACAATTCTAGAAAAATAGTCTCTTTGTAGCCTTTTTAAATTTATTATTGTTGTTATTATTATTATTATTATTATTATTTTTTTTTTTTTTAGTAGAACCGGCTTTATTGAGAGCATCCATGCGAATGACAGTCTGTTAGTCCGCATGCAGAGCCCCATATGGCCATAA